ATAGAAATCTAAGCAGCAACTAAGACAGCAGATTTATATTTTATCACTAGCATAGTTCCATGTTAAAACAGCCTGTGGGGTGGAATAATTTCTCATGGATCATGAATCAGCTGCTTTTCCAAACTGTGCAGCGTTCAACTTGGTCCTACAACCAAGACTAATGGTATGGCACTCAGTAATTGAAGCAGATCTACACTGCCTTTTGGAATTGGACTGATTTCTATTCCAGTTGCTTTGGGAACTAACCAGATCATCACAAAAAACTGATTAAAAAATTTATCAGAGTGACATTATGGAGTTCCTGCTTAATACACTGAAGCACTGAAGGTCTGATCCTGCAGTGCTTATTCCCATGAGCAATACTTAATGAAATGCCCATTCCTGCTCACCTAAAAAGAATAATTCATGAGCAAAGATTTCTCATTTAAGTATTTACAAGAAGAGGTCTTCTCTTTGACCTTTCAATTACATTATCATATATACTTAGAAGTCATGGTATTAAAAGCCATATTTTATGGCTTTATATTTACATATTTTAAGTGCCTTAAAAGTTACAAATTGATATGGTGGTAATCATTTTCCTCACTTATTTCACTAACACTTGAAAAGTAATTTCAGAGAACTTTCACTTCTAGCATTAACTTCGCTTTCTATGGAATACATGCTGACCTTAGCAGTACTACCAGTGTTCAGGATTAAATAATGACTAGAAGGTGATTTCTGTTAAAGTCAAATGAATAAAAGTAGGATGGGACTCCAAATCAAACCATAATCCTGACTGCCTCATATAGGTAAAATTAGATTTTTCTGTAATGGACACTATTTATGTCGCTCCTGTACTCTTAAATATTTCAATTATGTGCACTGATAGAAAAGAGCAAACCTTCATTGATCTAAAACATTATTCTATAACATACAAGACTTATTTAGGATTTGACAGGCATACACTGGATATTAGGTTTTTCAGGGAACATGGAATAGCCAGAATGAACATCCAGCATCGCACAAGCATTCTGATCCAACACACAGTGTTTAGGGAGGAAGAGAAGTATCACCTAAAAGGCCATGGCTTGGACATTACGTCCTTCAGATATTAAAAACAATTTTAGAAATCAATTTTTATTCAAAGAGAGTGAGCAAAATCTGAGTACAGGTAACGTGTGACTCCAGGCAATAAGATTTGGGGATCATTGCTGTACCTGTCCCTGGAGCTGATGTTCAACCCTGGTAGAAGTATCACACATGCCAGGGGCAATGTGAGTGGTCCATAATATCATCCATAAAACCCTTTTCTTCTTTCAAACTTCTCATAATTAAAGGAATGAATTGCCTTTCTTGACTATTTTGTCTACCTGTTTGCAATTTCATTTCACTCTTCTATTAATCTGAAGCCTTACAAACGATATCATTCTGCAAATCCAATCACACCATCAGCTCCAATTTCAGTCCACAGCAGCGAGTTATTGAACTGCAAAAAGAAAGAGCCAGAAATCTGTTTCTGCACCTCAGACCTGCTCAGCCTTGTTTACTAATTTAATTTGATAACAAAGTTGGTAATTCCATTTCTTCCCAAATATTTGAACGTTACATTTTTCTAGGTACATATCCGCTCGTTTGATCTAATGGCTGTCCTTTCAAAAATGTCACAGAACGCCATTAGCGCAGCTTCACCAGTGTTAAATGGTTGGACATAAATGCTGATTGCTGAGAACAATCTCCTTTGCCCACGGCACAGTGATGTAAAGGTTGGATAATTTTATTGCCCTTAATAGCATTTACAGCTATGCAAGCTAAGCCAATGATATGGGTAATCAAATCTCTGACTTACAGGGTGACCACCTGTGGCTGCTAGGGAAGGAATCCCCATTCTTTTAGGCCCAGGCACAATGCCACATAACCAATGGCTTGCCATTTCAGAGGGGGAAAAGGGATGAGAAGAAGGATGGAAGAAATTGCTGTGGATGGCAAACGAATTTTGTTTTCAGAATTCCTCATTGCCCATTCACAGAGAATCTTAAACATAAAGTATGGGGGACTTGTGAAGTCTCCTTGTTTCTCCCTTATTGAGTGTCAACTTCCACAAATGAGGGTGGAAGAGCTTCAAGGCAAGTGGTCTGTTCACTTATTAAGATCACCTCATTTCCTTAATTGTAGACTAATTGTGCAGGCTGGCCACAATTTAATTGAGTATAAAGAGAGAATAGTGACCTCAAAATTGGCAAGGTAAAGCTGGGTTGTAGATATCTTCCAACTTGCACAGCACTTCCTTCATTACTCCTTATCCTATTGTGGTTTTTGGGTCTCACCTTTGCAGATTTAAGCTTGAGCCTCAACATGGCATGGTGCAGAAAATACAGGTTGCACTTTTGAGTACTTGAAATAAGCTGCTAAATTTCAGAGTGATTTCAAGCCTCTCTTTTGAAACTGTGCAAATGCACTGCAAATTATATAGTGAATATATTAAAAGAAAGGAAAAAAACTATTTAGTCCCAACCTGCTGCATATTTAAGATTTATTCCATAGAGGCTACTAAATCCTGAACTTCAGATCCAGAGATCTGCTAAACCAGATAAACAACAAAATATTGTTCAAAGAGGTAGATGATAAATCAGAAATATCTCCTATGTGAAATTAGGAGACATGAAAGTAACTTTTTTTTTTTTTTATGATGCACTCACTTTCAAGAATGCTGCATTGCAGAAAGCATTTAGCTTGTCATGTTATTCTATTATTTTATTTTACACTTCATTCGTTTCTATTACATAGTCTTGCGCTTTATCATTAGAGTGTTCTGTTGTTGCAAACTGGCATATTGAATTCTGATCCAGTTATTCCAGAAAAAAATTTTTCCAGCCTTTAAACTGAAACAAATGGATGAGTGTGACACTCAACAGTTTTAATAATGTGTTGACTCTTGGGAATTCATGGCCTTTAGATGCCTAAAAATAATAATGTTTTTGTATGAAAAATGAATATTGATTAATGAACTGATTTTTTTTTTTTTTGAACAGCGGTTGAGCCAGTAGCTAAACTTGTCATGAAATTTGTTATAAATCACATAACGTATATACCAAGCAAATTGAATTTTTCCACAGCAAAATGCCTCCCTATCATAGGCATATATCCACTGTTCTCCTTAACAATGGAGGACAAACACTAAAAAAACAACTATCCTCCCTGACATATGCTTCACAAATTTATGCATGAATAATTATCAGAAAAAAATTCAGCAATGTTGTAACCATCTGTGAAAGTAACGAGCTTCTGTGTAAACCAATATTCTATATACATAAAAATTCCTTTATCTGCAGGTGCTAGTACTGAAAAATGCTACATTTTTTCTGGAGTTGAAGATATACTCAGTATTAATTATTTACAATTTATTTTTCCAGCAAAATGGAGACTGAACTCCCATTACTGTAACATACCTCTGATACGCCACAAAGACCCTAAGAATCTTCAAATTTGACTAGACAACTAACTTCAGATGATAAAAAATATGTAACAATTAATTCATTCAGTTGAGGAAAGAAGCAAGGAAAGGAAAATAACGTCATACGCTCACAACAAGGAAAAACATGAATATTTAACACAAAAGTATTAGTAAATACTATCACACTCCTGCAGAAATTTTAAAAGCTCTGCAAACAGTTTAATAAATGGAAAGTTAAACCCATACTCTGTTTTTCTTTACATTTACATTTTACATCAGACCAAACCATTCCTCTGGAGTTAGAAACAGGAGATTCCCAGAGCAGGGCCAGATATCAAAGTGCCTCTGCTAATCCACTGCTGCCTCCTGAGTCACCTGAAAAGCTCACCGAAAACCTTTCTTCCCCTCTCACCTCCAGCCTGAATATTTGTCACAGACATCTTTTATGGAAAATCCTTTCCTTAGGATTTTTCCTCCTGAGAAGCTGGGATGCCTCAGGAACAAAGTGTAAACATTGATTATCTGCTGCTGTGGAATGCAACAGGTGCATCTGTGATTGGCCCATGTTGTATGTTTGTAATTAATGGCCAATCACAGCCCAGCTGGTTCAGACAGAGAGCCGAGCCACAAACCTTTGTTATCATTCTTTGCTATTCTATTCTTAGCTATCCTTCTGATGAAACCCTTTCTTCTATACTTTTAGTATAGTTTTATCATAATATATATCATAAAATAATAAATCAAGCCTTCGAGACATGGAGTCAGATCCTCATCTCTTCCCTCATCCTGAGACTCCTGTGAACATGGTCACAAATATTTTGAAGAGTTTACTTTTTTCTACTTGGCTCTTAAAATGAAAGGCACTAGAGAATCACACTTTTTTTTTTTGTTTGTTTGGTTGGTTGGGATTGGCTTTTTAAAGCATGACCCTTTTCACTCTCCATTTTATGTATTTCATTAACCATAACACTAAGGTCTACTGCCCTCACTCTCATGATACTCAAAACCAATAAAAGTGATAAAATTTGGATGTATCTCACTTCTTTCATTTCTCTCCATAAAATTTACCTTGTTTCATCAGACTTAAAGGATCCAGAAACAGTGGATCAAATAAATATCCTGCGCATAAATATTGGAAAGGGTGGGGTACTTAGGGGCTTCTAGGAAACCTCTAATTTCTTTTTGTACGGAAATATCCTCAAGAAAGAAAGCCTATCTTCTCGCTGCATTTCACAAAAATTTCCCTTAATTGCACAAATCATGATTTTCTACATTTTCTCCCAAAGCTCTTTGTGGAACTCCTTTGATTCAGACTACTTAAAGTTGCCTATTACTTGAACAATAACTTCATTCAATAACATGTAAAATACAGGCAATTCTGTCAATCTGAGGTATTTTTCCCAATCTTTTAGACAGAAGAAAACCATGTCATTTTAGATGAAAAAACCAAACACAGCAATCTGAGCAGCAATGATCCAATGTTGAAGCAATTCAGTTAGTTTATTTCTCCACTTCTCAATCTTTGAGTATTTTCTCAAAAAAGTAACTTGATTTTATTTTAACTCACCTGATAAACCACAGAAGGGTTGCTTATAACAGAAGCACATAAGACAGGATATTCCTTAAATCCAGAAGTAAGGCAAAGCAGCTCTTCCTAATGATCTGCTTGTGAATGAAATAGACTGTTTTTCTAGCAGGTCTGGTAGCAGTCAGGAGAACAATTTATGCATCCAAAAAGACCTTTTTGGTTTAACATGTCTCTGTTCTGTAGAAACACACAAAAATTTTATTTTCAGGGAGCCAAAACCACTGACAACAAAATAAAAAGGGCACGTAAATCTTCATAATGTAATTATCCTGATGAATTAACATATATTGACAACACAAAGTATGATATTATTAAAAAGCTGGAGTCAACCACCAAAATCCTTTAAAAACTTGCCTTGCTGTTTTCAATCTCAATTTTCCCTCTGCTTGTAAATATTTAATGGCTTTCATTTTTGCAAATGAATAGAATTGCATTTGGCTCATAAGAAAATAGTTTTGTAACCCTATTACAGAGTGTGCTATCTCAGCACTTGCCACAAGTGTAAATCTTCTCCAGAACATTAGCATATGCAAGAAAAAATAATCTTCATCTCAGAATCAATGGAAGTTTAAAAAACCCACTTATTTGGCAGTTGAAACTGTTAGAAAAGTTGCATCTCTCAGATAAATAAATTCTAAAGAGCTCTAAATTTTCCATCATAAGAGTGGGATATTCAGAGGTTTCCCAGCAAAAAACCAAACCAGAAATTACAATGCTACTTTGTATGTTGTTAAACTTCGTGTGTTGTTCAAAAACTCTTGTTGCAGTTTTTAAACAACTTTCTGGCACATTTTAACTAGCACAAAATCCTCAGCATTCCTACACAAATCAAGCAAAGGAATGATTCTTACATGGGATTACTACTGGATCTCTCTAAATCTCTAAATATGGTAAACATACCATATAAAACAGAACATTTTCTACAAGTGCACAACTAAAAAGTTTTCAACACTTTTCCTGAATTCCAATAATTTTATCATGGATCTCTGTTATAATTATAAAACAAGGAAGTTTTTCGTCCTTCTTTGATGTTAAAACTAAAAAAACAAATTCTAAGAAACTTCCAGAAGATCTACACAGAGATAAAATTTCAAATCACCAAGAACCTCTCTGAAAGAAAGGTCTCTTCATGTTATTTTTTAGAATAGGTGGAATTATAAACTTTTTGGTGATCTGGTCAAGTCTATGACCTTCCTTCAACACTATTCCTAAATTCCAGTTAATTTTATCATGGGTCTCTATTATAACCCTAAAACAAGGGATTTTTTCATCCTTATTTGATGTTAAAACTCAAACACAATTTCTAAGAAACTTTTAGAAGCTCTACAGAGACATGAAATTTCAAATCACTAAGAAACTCTCTGAAAGAAAACTCTCTTCATGTTATTTTTTAGAATAGGTAGAATTATAAACTTTTGGCTGATCTGGTGAAGTCTAAGACCTTCCATTTTTTCATTTCACTGGGACTGCATCTAAACATTCTTATAATTGTCAGCCTCACTCATGAGTTTCACAGTTAAGAACCAGAAGGAATGGGAAAAGGAAACACGGAGTGGAACACCTGAAGCTCTTGGTGGAATCAAGGATGGAGTAGAAAATTAAACAAAACAAAACAAAACAAGGCAAAAAGAAAATGTGGCCAGCTCAAGGTTTACAGGAAAGAAGGTCATCAGGCAGCACAGCCTGCAATGACACTCCAGTGCCTGCAGTTTTTAAATATGTCTCACAAGAAAGGAATGAGCAAGCTGTGCAAGAAGAGCAGATGGGAAAAATCCACCAATACTAACATAAAGTAGAGCAGAGAGGCTGTGTGTTCTAGGAGCAAAACTGCAGAAGCTTGAAGGGAACTGTTGTATAAATAGTCTTTAAAGAAAGCAAGGTTGACCTCACCAAAATGCTTCCTAAATGACGTGGTTTCAAGATAAAGAACAGTCTTATTATGATAAAATGTATCAGCAGAATAAAAAAGCTTTCAAAATTAACAGGCAACACTGAATAATCCTCAGACATGCTGTCATAAATAAGTGAAAAGTTTAGCCAGTAAAAAAATGCATTGGTAAAATATAATAAATTTAGTAAAATTGAATTCCATAATGAAAGTTATAAATGTAATTGAAAAATGGTAATATACCAAAATCTAAACCTTGTTTCAGCATAGATATCAAAGTATTTCCTTTCTTATTTTAGAATTGTCATGCAGGTGCAATTAAGTTTGCCATACAGGAAAACGTGGGCCTGAAGTCCAGGGCAAGTATTAATTTCATGTTTTTTACCTTTCCTTTCTTAACAAGGAAATGTAAAAAACATGAAATTATTACTTGAGGTAAAAAAATATGAAATTAATAATTTTTCTCCTGGATCATTTATATGAGCTAAATGACACATAGCATTGAACACACAGAAGGTTTGGTTCTCCTTCCTCCTTTCAGCAAGTTCTCTCAGTGCAGAGGCAAACCTCCACTTATTTCACATATTCCTAGGGACTTGGACAGATCAGATGCATGTCAGAACATCCTGGGAGAACAGCTGACTGTAGCCAAGAATCAGAGCATTAAAATGAAAAAGTAAAACAAGATTCTCGTGTGAACCAGCAAGGTGTCCAGTCCCATGGCTGTAAAGAAGCTTTAAAGACAAAAATTAAATAGGAAAATATTGCTTGAATTTAAAATGTTTGAGATAGTCATAATTAAACCCATGGTTTTGTTCACTTTTACATTCAAGAAGTGAAGAGACTAGAGGTTCTGTAGGCTTGGTTCTGTAGCCTATTTTTTCATAAACTTTGTGAAGAATCTCATTTGCTGTATGAAGCAGCAGATGCTCGTTTCTGACGCAGCCTTTGCATTTACCCCATGTCCTATAGTCCCTGTGTAGACAGAGAACACACACAAGTTTCACATCAGCTCCTGTTTTACAGGAGCTGGATAATAGATGCAATCACCTCACTATCTTCAAGCTACTTGGTAGACAATTAAAAAAAAAAAGCAATTTATTCTTAGACACTAAATTCTCTTCTCCTGGACTCTTCAGGCTGTCTCTGTGAACACCTTAGAATTTTATTTTAATTGCTAACTTCATCAGCAGGAAATTATAGGCTTTAAGAACAGAATGCAAGAAAGCTTCAGATTGTAATAATCCATGACTAAATACAATCTTAAAAGGTGAATGAATACATGTTTAAAGAGTTTTGTTTAAATCCACTGCCTGAACATAATTATGCAACCTGCATAATTTACTGCATTGTGATTACTAATATATTTTTAATGTTAACTGCACTATAATCATTGTTCAACATACACAAAAGAATAAAAAGGATAGAAAAATGTATGTATTCATTTTATAAATTGTATTTAGTAGGTTTTCTATAATAAAAGAATTGATTAGCATTTAGAGGCAGATATAGTTCATAAATTGCTGAATATAGTGACATTTTAATATATTTCCAGTGAATATTCACTTCAATTAATCTGCAGATTCCTCATCATATAAACAAGTGAGATTGTTTTAAATACAGAATGTAAACATATCCACTGTGTTTTAAACTCTACCTTTCAGCAACATGAGATCTTTTGGTTTTTAAAATTTCTTCTTAGTTTTTAATGCAATCATATTGTATTAACTGCTACAGCTCAGGGCAGTTTCCCATTACACATTTAAAGGTCTATGACCATACAAAAATAAGCCAAGCAGTAGGAAGGAAGATGGATACAATCCATAGGTTATTCCACCTCTTCACTCTCCAGCCTGACTCCTGCTGTAGATAACAAAAAAGCAGCATCTGCTGCATGATTCATTTTGTAGGCTTAGCCTAAAATAAATCCAGAAGTTAGCATAAATTAATAAACATTTAATAATACTATTTTTTCTTATATTATTACTAAAAGAGGAGAACAAATGTTTATTATTATCTAAAGGGAAAGCAATGTACAAGATGCTCTTGAAAGAACACAAGATCACGCAAAAATATGAACAAACATCTCTAGGTTAAAACCAGGGGTCAACCTCAAATGTGAGAAGTATTTTATACAAAGCAGAGCAATCCTCAGCATGAATATAATTTGATATTATTATAAATATAATAATCTTCCTTTTCCTTGTTTTCCTGGGCACAAATCTGTGTGTAGATAACATGCTTGTGTGTGAAAATGACAAATATGGGGAAAAGCAGCAAAAGTCCATGATATTTTCTGGTGTTGCTCCATTGATCAGGCACATCAGGGTATGGACCACAGAAGGACATGGCAGGGACACAGAACATTGGTGTTCTTCCCTTCCTCCTCAGCTGGGCCAACACACAACAGCAGAGCATGAAAGCAGGAAAAACTGGGATGTCCCATTTGGCAGAGGCTTCACAGACTGTGGACAGGCTTAGCAGCTGGTCTGCAGGCCAAACAACTGAGTTAACAGAAGAAGAAACTGATAAAATATGAGTTTATCCACAGCAAGGAAGAAAGCAGGGCCATTAGCATGGAAGCTGATAAAACAGACACATATGGGATACTTGCTGTCAGAGGATATGTGCCTTAATAACTTGTTGTAAACTCATGCCAATTAATTATTGACATTAATTGCTTTGTACCAATAAAATACAAGAGGCTATTGCTTTGTCCAATGAACATAATGAGCTTTGATGTCACCAATGACATAAGGTCAGGCTTTGTTAAGGGTATAAAGTTTAAGAACAACTTGTAATAAAGAGGAAGCCATTGCTGTCTCTGCACGAGTGTGTGTGTAAATCACGTGTCCACCTCCACAGTGACAACAGAGTGTGTGTGAAACACCTCTGGGCAGAACTCTCTCTGGGAATCAGGGATTTGGGATGTATTCCTGGCTCTGAGAACCTCTTATCAGTCAAGATAAAGGACAAGCTGAGGATGAAAAGGGACAAGGCACACGTTGGCACCGGCTCCTAACAACCACAACAGCACCAGGGGACACAGATATCCCCTTTTGGACAATGTGCTGGGGTTTTCAGCTGTGTCTCATAGCTGCAGACCATTGTGTGACGAGAGGGAAATTGATTTTTCACCAGCCTCAGTGAAGGGGTGCACAGACCTCTGTCCCTTTGCTGTGTGAGGGAGCGTTCGGCAGGGCCAGGTGTTAACAAGTTCCCGCCTTCAGAGGGGAGCACAGCTTTCATACAGCACAGCAGGAAGCTCCAAAAACACCCTGGCAGTGAC